CTCCGTTTGATTTTAGGCAAAACTGTGTCCACCTAAAACTGGATTTGTTGTTTACATTTGAAAGCTCTGTGTTACTACTATTTTGCGTACTCTCTTATTGGGCTTTATTAGGCCCACTTTAGCAAATAATTAGGCCCACCCACGCAACGTGAAATATAACAACTTTCTCTCTTTTTCAAGGTTTGTGAATCTGATCAGGTAATGATTTTTTTTTTCATATGGATTACACTATGTTTCTGTTATTTTATCAATAATCTTAACAGAATTCTTGATGAAAATTTTGAAAATCTATCAAAATTCAGTCGAATAAACATCTCCGAAAATAGTAAAATAAAGATTATTTGGATTAGAAAGAACACTTTAAACTAATTGTACAAAAGATTATTTTAAAACTCAAATATGGAAAAACCTCCCAAAGACCATAAAACTTTCCCTCTTCTCTGTGTTTACAACAAATGTAAGTAGACCAGTAAAGAACAAACCCAAAAACCTCAACCAAATTGAATTTATAAAGCCTTAAAAACAAATTTAACTTATACTATTATATAAAGAACAGAGGAGGAAACTATAAAAGGATCTCATCTCTCTAAAGGTGTCTTCCGGTAGCTTTGCCACAGAGAAGAAGATTATCAGGAGGATTGTATTCATTGGAGAGACTCTGCACTGGATTCCATACTTTGAGATAAAACTGTTGTCCCGAATACTGTCTTTCCCATATCGCCGATCTCATATTCCACATTCCTTGATTGTCCAAAGACACCAAGATTGCTGTCCAAGAGTTTGGATAGACCTGCATTTATGCACCAAGAACCATGCTTCAAGAACAAAAGAAAGAAACCGAATTTTTGACTTTTTATCGGCGTTTCTTTACCTGAGTTGTGTGTCTGGTAAGACCATCAACAAGATTGTAAAGTGGTCTTTTTGCAGGTGTCCATTGTCCAGAACCAAATCTAGATTCATAACAAAGAAAATACGGTTTAGCGAAAATCTGCCTTCAAGCATAAGCGTGAATGCAAGAAGAAGAAGAAGACTCACCCAACGACCCAGAAGTCATAACCATCAAGATGCCAAGACTGCATTGACTTCTCATTGTTCTGAAACACAATCTCGAGGAAGTCATGGAGAGAGGCTTGAACAACAGGTGTTGCAACGGTTGCAGGAGAGTTGGAGGGAACACTCTGAATTGCATTTGTGCTGAAAACTCCAGCGATGTTGAAGTGATCAGCGAGCTTGAGAGGCGTCTCTGAGTTCACATAAGAGACTCCATTAACTGCATAACGTTGCTTTCCGTTGATCAAAGGAGCTGAATTCGAGAAAACAAATGATTTCGTTGCTACGATTTTTCCGTAGTGGAATGATCCTTGCGGGTTTGGTCTAGCTGCATTTGCTGTTAAGTTCCACCTAAAACCCCGAAAGAAAGCAACATTAAAGATCCAATCCTTCACATTAAACGTTTCTTTATAAGTATAATTGCTTTATATACCTGAATGTTCTGGCTTGTCTCATAGACCAAACCAACTCTCCAGGCGGAGGAGCAGGCGGATCACCAGAAGCCGGTACGCGAGAGTTGGAATAACGCAACAAACCCATAACAGAAAGATTGCTTCTTACAAACCTAGTGCTTGCAACAATGTAATAATCTTTAGGAGTTTGACTTAAGGTCACAAGAACCGCTAGAGACTGTCCAACGTGAATATCAAGAGAATCGTAATCGGTTTGAATCACATGAGAGCCTTCGACTTCAACTACTTTCATTGTATGTCCTTGGATTCTGAAATTGAAAGAGCTTGATAAACCAACATTGGAGATTCTCAACATGTAAGTCTTCCCTGAAAAGATTACACAAAGTAAGAAACCAGAATTAACTCAAAGAACAAACAATTTAGTGGAAAGTTAAAAGATTCGTAACTCACCTTGGTCTCCTGTAAATGTGGTTTGGGTTTGTCCATTAATGAGAAGTCCATCTGGATATGGAAGAATCCCACCAGAATCCAAACGTTGTTGAAGCGTTTTGTGGTTGGTTTTAAACCAATCACCAATGAGTAAAGTGAAATCTGCAACTGGAATAGGGTAAGGAATTGGGATTCCAGGTCTTGCATAGACATTAATGGCTCCAAATCCACCGGCTGCTTTGTGAAAAGCGGTGGAAGGAAAGTAATTGTAAGTTCCGATCTGATCTTTGGTTTGGAATTTGTAAGTGAAGTTTGTGTTTGGTTGGATTGGACAGTTTGTTCCCAATACACCATCTTGCCATGAGTTCTTCCTCTGCTTAATCCCATTCCTAAACCATAAAAAGACATTGAAAACACTAAATTGATTGATAAAAGTTTTCAGTTTTGAGTTTAAACCATAAAGATCAAATCTTTAAGCGGATTCAGAGAACCCCAAATGCATAAATTGTCTCAGTGAAGCAAGAAGCAGATCAAAGAGTCAAATTCAACGATTACTTACATAAAACAAAACAGAGGACTTATTCTTTAGGAAGTATGTGAAAATGACAATAGTTCAAATCTTTAGGGTTTTTTTCTAAATACCATGTTAAGAGGAAAGGTTGGTCAAGTTTGTTGATGAGGTTGAGGATGATGTTGTCATTGGTCACAACATCAAGCTTAGGACCAGGAAACTGACCATTGATGAGAATAACCTAAAGAGAGAAACAAACAAACAAAAGATCTGAGTATCAAACAAGGATTTAAAAGTTTCTATAAATGGAAACTGTTATTGTTGTACCTGTTGAGGAACACCAAGAGGAGAGATAATGCCATAAGTCACAGTCCAAGTGTAGTACTTGTAAGGGCTTTCTCCTCTCACTGTTACTAAACTGATCAAAAGAGTCAAAGCTCCAAGAAGAAGATGAAGCAGAGATGTTGATGCCATTTTCATGGCTACCTAAAAGAATCTGTATGGCTCGCGCGATGAAGACAGCTCAAAACTCTTTTTATGTAAATGGGTTTTGAGAAATGAAAGGACTTTGGTCTATAAAAATGCAATTAGATAGCGAAAGTTAAGGGGGTGATAGAATTGTAAGTGAGAGAAAGAAAAAAAGTCACAAAGGTGGTGGTTCCAATCAATGACACTAGTGAATATCTCGAGCTAAGT